TAAATATAAATTATATGCAAGAATAAGAGCTCAGACTAATTTATCTGCAATCTAAACCTACTAGAGTGGCCAAGACTTACCTAGATTTGAAAACTTCATACAAATTTAGGTGAGTCCTGGATAAATATAAAGTTTTATAGAGATTCTATAAGATACATAAGATGTAAGTTTTTTGTAATATAAGTAAGTATAGTATTTTTAAAAAAAGTTTTGAGTATATAAGGTAGATATGCCTAATTTGGCATAGTACCTAATTCGGCGCACTAACTATATCTTACGAAATATTAATTAGAATCACGTGATTTTGGTAATATATTCACCTCATCAAATGAATCAAATAGTACCAAAATCATATGATTTTGATTAATAGTTTGCAAGATATTATCATTTAGCCAAAATAGCCTACATATAAAGTAGATATGTCTAATTTGGCACAGTGTCTAATTCAGCATACAAACATTATCTTACAAACTATTAATTAGAATCATGTGATTTTGGTATTATTCAATTCATCTCATCGAGACAAATCAAATAGTACCAAAATCATATGATTCTAACTGATAGTTCACAAAATATTACACTAGAAATCTTTAATACACTGAATTAGATACTGTGCTGAAATAAGACTGTTTTTAGATAAACTTTTAAAAAGTGATATTTCATGATACTCACACTAGTATTTATTAAATAGTTAAATAGTTATAGTTAATCATAAGGTAAATATAGATATTATGACAAAGAGGAGTATTATGACAAATTAGATTATCTTATGATTCTATAATCAAAATCATATAAAATTTATACTATTAGATTCCTCTCATTGAGATGAATTAAATAGTATAAATTTTATTCAATTCTAATTGCTATATTACAAGATAATCCTGATTTATTATAATGTCCTCTTTGTTATAATAAGTAAAATACTATATCTAAAATTATTATGACAAATCAAGATATCTCATAATTTTGTGATTAGAATTAGATGAAATCTATATCATTTGTTTCCTTTCAATAAAAGAAATTAAATAGTACAGGCTTCATCTAATTTTGATCTTGGGATTACAAAATAATTCTGATTTATCATAATAACCCCAAAACTAAAATTTTCTTATTTTTTTAAAAATATTTCAACTTTAAATATTTTATAATGCTAGAGTTGAAATTCTGCAGCCTAGTAGTCTAAGCACCCAACCCTCTACAAGTAGGTTTTGGGTTCAAGTTCTAGTAAGTACATTTATCTACAAATATTTGGAAGTATTCATTATGAAAAGTCCAAGTGAATACAGATCTAGATTAGGAATTTCTAGAAAGAGACCCATTGTGGAGTAGTTGGTACCAGTAATGGTAAATAACAAGGTCATAAAAATTTTTATGAAAATGACCACAAATGATATATAATTTTAAAATAACAATATCATTTATTATAAAAAACTTTTATACAAAACTATGGCAAAATAACAAGTTATAATTATTAAAATAACAAATAAATGATAATAATATTAATACTAAATATCTTTCTAAGACCAAACTTCCTTGTGAAAAACAATTCATAAATAATTCTTAAACTACTTAATTATACTAGTAATTTTGTAGCATCCACTGGTGGTACAAAGCAGGCTGGCTGATAATTAGAAGTTTTGCAGTCAAGCTAGCAACTGTTACAACTTGTGGAAAAGCTTAAAGGGTCTTGGACCAATTTAGCTTTGATTATGATTAAAGTTAAATGGTTTAAATCAATAAACTTATACACATAATTACATGTTAAAGTTTCTCTTTATTAACATAAATCAGTATATCGAATTAGCATAATACTAAATACCATCAACAATTGTAAATAATTATTCTAACAACTGTTCTTACAACCATTCTTACAATAGTTATTTCTAATTAAACCATTAAATTCTGACCCTTAAAAGCTAACAATAAATATCTAGTAGAATAACTGTTTAACAACAACTATAAATAACTATTAGAATAATAATTATCTAATACCAACTCATAAAGTGCTGTTAGAATAATTATTTAATACTAACTATAAAGAGCTGTTAAAAAATAATTATTTAATATTTGGCATTATAGTATGCTTGATGATTGGCTAAAATTCATATTGCTAGTCTCAAGTATAGTCATAAAAAAATAAATAATTTTTTTATAACAAAAATAACTTGTCATATAACAAGTGTCATTTATTTTTAAATGACAATGTGCTATTACTGGTTAGAACTACACATAATAGTAGCTATTATAGAAGGTTCTATTATACAAAAGTTGTGCATATAAATTCATATAAATTCATGATTGGCAAGATAGTACCAACAACCCTAAGGTGGCATTGGAGATCTTGTTTGGAAGGATGACTGAGCGATAATCGGAAGAGACCTGTGGTAAAGAATTAGCCTTACCAGATTTGAAACACTTCTAGCATATACAGAACTCACTAGCTAATAAGAAGTTGAAGCATAGAGACATGTACCAGAATAAAAAATTCAGCTTGAAAAATATGTGTGCACTTATATTATTATATAATTTCTTTATATTAAAATAAGAAAATTTCATGTGCGATCTGCATATGCGCACATATCAAATTTTTCACCCTGGCATGTACATGTTGATAGATCTAACAAGCTCTGGTCTTACCTATATAGAAGTTTTTGAATGTTAAGAGAACTTAGAATTACCAATATAGATATAAGTGAATACAGTAGTAACTGGAGGCTACAATTGCTAAGAATCACCATAAATAGAAAATAATAATGCACTTGTTAAGAACTTCTAGGCATTATGATCTTATCCAACTATATAGGGTACTAGAAATATATGTAAAACATGCTTAAGCAGCCTCATTACTATATTGTGAAATACAGTCATTCATGCAATACCAAATTTGAAACATTAAGACCTGGGTTCTAAAGTCATAAGAAACCAGCTAGTTACAGCAGTATGCAGGCTTGAGATACTTACCCAATTGGATAAAGACACTGCATAGCTTGAAATACAAACTCCTAAAAGTATGCTAGTTGCACCAAACTAGAAGCAATAAGTGTCTACCTGGTATATACCAATTTTGAAGTTAAGATATTAGGTAATGTGGGTAAAGTGGTGGACATGTGAATACTAATTGGTGATTGGGAAGAGATATATAAACCCAGATTACTCACATATGTGAAAGTGTTAATAGCTCTGGTGGGTTTTAACTATAGATAAATAGGTTTAGATCTAAAGTTCTAGTTCTGATATGTAATATATATATTTTGGCACCATCATATATAAACTTGCTTAATTATTAATAAAAGTCTAGAGCAGATACTATTAAAAAAATAAATTAAAATAAAAAATAATTCATAATGCAGTGATCAGAAACGAATAATTTTGGTATTATTTGATTCAACTTGATAAGATAAATTAGGTAATACCAAAATTATTTGATTTTGATCAATACATTGCAATATATGGTTAAAAATATTTTAACTTCATCATAATATCTATATTTACTTTAACTTTCTTAAAACACAAACATTATAATAAACAGAATTAAACTTTATATACTATACACTTAGTAAAAAACTATATTTTTTACAAATTAAAATTATTCAGATATTTATTATAATTCCCTAGATTTTGAAAAACTATATTAGCTATAAGAATAATGCTTTGAAAAAAACTATCTAAAAAAATTCAAAAAAAACCTTATGGGTCTATTTAACTATTTCTGTATTTAGTTATTAGTAAATATATAGCATTAGCAAAAGTTTTTGGAGAATCTAATTATATCTAATTAAATTTGCCAACTACTAGCAAAGCGAAAGACCAATGTATTCTGAATTTTTTTTAATCATAGGTGGCATGCTTAGCTACTTGTTATATAAGTGATTACACTTTTATATAGAAAATAAAAATAAATAATTTGTATGATGATCTATATTCAATTGTATCACATTGGCCAATCAAAACGACTTTCCATCATGCTAAAGTTAGGGTAGAGCTTTTTATATAGTAAAATTTAGCAAGAAATTTTTTTGTTAAAGCTTAAAAGGTAGTTTCATAAACAAAATTTTGAGATATGAGTATTTTTTAAAAAAATTCTTTGTTTTTGTTATACAAAATTAATTTACACATTACACCTAATTCTGAATTTTAATTGGCAAATTAACTACAGGTGATAATCACCTGGAAATTTTAATTATTTTAATATGAAATTTTCAAAATTTTTGGGGCCTTTTGTTAGGGTTTTTTTTTTAGGATTAGATTAGGGTTTAGTGGTAGATTTAATAATAAGTAGATTTTGGTGAAGTTTTTATTTTTAAATCAAGGTCCCTAATTTCCAGCTTCAGCTGCGACAATTATTATACAAAAAATTTACACAAATTGAGCAATTGCATAAATATTATGAAAATCAAACCCAAGTTTTATTAATATGTAGGTTATATTATAGAAATTTCAAAAATGTTCAAAATTTATACTACTAATTGGTACAGTATTTTTGAGTAAGTCAGTCTTGCCTTTTACAACGTACATACCAAATTTTATCTAGCACAAAAAGCCAAGCATTAACAATTATCATATCAATTAAATATTTTTATTATTTTTATTAGTTTCAAAATTTTCATAAACTTTATCCAATTGTTGTACTTCAACCACATAATCTCTTAAAAATAATTCTAAATCATTAATTTCTTTCTCTAATTGTACAACATGATTTTTATTATCATCATTATTCTCGTTATTAGATGAGCCTTGAATTAAAGGAATCGTGGATAAATATTCTGTTAATTTTTTTTGATTTAATTTGTGAAAATGTCCATGTTTTTGAACCAGGCCAAAAGGCTGAATTATGTCATCACCTATTTTTTAAAAAAATAAATATAAAATTTAAATAATATCCCGAACCGTTGGATAGTAGACACGAAGTTACTGATAATGTACATAAGGATCATAAAATATTATTCTTCAATATTCTTTGATCTTAATATAACGATTGAGAGATGACATTTCAATAATTATAGGTGGTAAGTTGACAATTTCTACGAATATATTATGCCAATGTCTACCAACCATTTAATATAACATAACCTACCGAAAAGTAATTTATAAGCAACTATAGCAATTGACCAGGCACCACCAAGTAATCCAAGAGAACTTAAAATCTATATGAAATTTTGAATTAATTTACATTTATAGAAATTTAATTGCCGTTGAATACTCACTGTATGCGTCCTTTAGATTTATTTCAAGTTGATGAGACAGTAATAAAAACTAATTCAAGTTAATTATTTAATAAAAAGTTTACCTTTCTTCAGTTTCAATAATAGTTTTATCATATTCTGCATAAATAGAAATAATAAACATGCTTGCAAACTGCGTAGTACTGAATCGTTCTGTAGCTAGAATTCATATAAATTATTAATATTAACACAACTATATATATAAATATTCGTATTATAAAATAAATCTAGAATTATTAATGAATTACTTTTTCTTGTAGTTAAGTAAGTTGTTATTTCATAATCTGGGGTAAGTCCCATAGTGGCTTTCCAACTTGGTATTATAAATTTCCTGATATTTCGACTCAAATAAATATCAGTAGTCTTTTATGAAATATATTACAAAAGGTTAATATTAGTTAAAATAATAAAAAAAAAAAAATTTTTTTGCTTTAATATTAATGAAATGCGTACGTCAGAAGGTAATACTTGATAAGTGTTAGCCATTGCAATTGATTGTAAAAATGCCGAAGACATATTCTCCATCGAGTAAACAGTTGCTATATGTTATAATAGAAACTTAGTTCTTATAAAAGGATAAAGAAATTATTTTTCATAAATATACCTGGATCAGAAACTTCAACAAATATACTTGGATTAATATTTGGATCCAAAAATTTTACTTGAAAATTAATCATTAATGCTCCATGATTTCCATATTTTGCATAACTTGAGTTATCTGTTAAATCTATAATCATTCTGTATCCATATGCAACCGGGATTGAGAAATTTGCGTAGTAGTATGTTACATTTTTGATAAATGTTTCTGTGATATATGTGCTGCATTCAGATTCATGATTTGAACCTGCGTCTGCGACTTGAATGGTTTATAAAATAGAGATTGTAAAAAATACAGTAAGAAGTATGCAATATTTGTTCTTTAGTCTTAAAAAATTTGAAATCTTATTTATACCGGTATGAACAAAGCCACATGAAATTGCAAACATACTTTCAGAAAAAAATTTGATATCTATTAAAGAAATTTTATTATTTTACTTAAAAAATATATAAAAAAAAAATTAGCATGGCATAAATGACAAAAGCTGTTTTTTTTTTACCCGGCATTGGAATATTTTCTTGAATATAAGAATTACTAATAACGGGTTTATCATTTATAATGTTAAGAATCAAATTAATGAAGTATATTAGTATGCAGATTAATAAAATTAGCATAGTTATAATCCTCATAATATGAATTAATAAGGGCTCGCTCTTGCGATATCTCTGGTAAGCTTCTCCCAAAATCATTTTAATTAAATTTAAGAAATTGTAATAAAATTGTTTAATAAAATATGTATACATACCAGATACATATATATATATTAATATATGTGTGTAAAATAAATGCAGGGTTTGTAAACAGTTACGCATGAATTTGGTTCCCTTTATTTCTGTCCCTTATTTTACTATTATGTACTTACATGTGTGTACTTTATTAGTCAGGTGTTTACCATAAACGTAGATAAAAATCTGAAACATTAAAATCAATACAGTGCACTAAACGTTTAGATGATTATGGTGAAAAATTATTAATAGCACCACTGAGATATATGTACGTACATAAGTGGTTCCTTACTAATAACTACTTGTAGTAACTTCAAATTTCATTCTAAATACAGTGAGCTTTTTTATACTAAAATTTTGGCGTTAACAACAATTGCTTTTTTAAGTTCGATAGATTTTATAAATAAAAATAACAGCCTTCTAAATTTATAATTTGAAATTTAAGGTTTAAAGTTCTTGTGATTCAAACACAACAAAGATAAAGTTATGAAAACTCGATACACGGAAATGCATGCATAAATACAAAATTGTATACGTACGTACGGGTAAGCACGGGTTTCATAATCACTGCACGGAAACTGCACAGAAACTGATCATCCAAAAAATTTAATACACGTTATCACACGAAAAATTGAAATCCGTGCACTATCGTGCATAGTATTATTAATCTTAATGATAACATAACGATAATTTCCGTGCACTAACATGCACAATTGTTAAGATTCTTAACGATCATAATTTTAGTGCACTGACGTGCACAATCGTTAAGATTCTTAACGATTTAACGATCATAATTTCAATGCACTGACGTCACGATACATTTCACCACATTTCACCATATTTCACCAGCATCTATAGTCACGATCATCACAATCGCTAAGATTCCTTAACGATCACAATTTTTGTGTGCTGACGTCGATTCTTAAAGATCATAACTTTTGTGCATGACATCACAATTGTCATGATCGTTAAGATCCTTAACGATTATATATCTGCGTACTAACGTGATGAGGTTAAGAACTTTAACAATCATAATTCTGTGCACTAAAGTGATGATAATTTCCGTGCATTGACGCGCACAAAAACATTTATTCTGTGAGTAAATAAATATATATATATATATTTTTTTTTACACTTAACAATTATAATTTTCATGTATTTGTTATCTTTTGGAAGTCATTGCCTTGGAAGTTACTTTTTTGGAATCACTATTGTTTTTGGTGTATGTTTTTTCATCATTTTTGGAGGTGTTATGGCTTTATTTTTCTTACTTTATTTTTTTACCTCTTTTTTTATTTACTTTCTATATATTATTGCATTTTCTTCCAATTCTTAGTAACTTCTTTTGAGTTACTGCCATTGGATTTGCTGCAATTGGAGTTGTCACTATTGATTTGTCACTATTGGAGTTATTGCTAAAGTAGTCATTTTGATTTTGATTTTTTTCGAACCTTTTATTTGGTACTAATGTTTTATTTTTTATTTTTTTTTGATATTATTAGTTGCTGGGTTATTTTTAAAGTTAGTAGTTTTAGTAATTAGAAATATTTTCTTTAAATTATTAAATTAAAGTATTTGTGTTATAAAATTTAGTTAATAAAATAATAAATTTAGTTAATAAAATAATAAAATTTAGTTAATAAAATTATAAATTTAATTAATAAAAATTATAAAATTTAGTTAATAAAATTATAAAATTTAATTAATAAAATAATGCATATAAATGTATATATAGTTATATGTTATTATATGTTACTTGCACATAAATATGCACAAAACAATGCATAAAAAATTGCACTTAGTATGTACACTGTTGCATGTAATCTGTACCTTATTACATACTATAAACATGCTTTCTTATACATTGTCTTATATAGATTTACATGCAGGTTCATATAGTTTCATATCCAAACTTTTTCATGTATTGCAGTGCTGCAATTTGTTATAGAAGCTTATGTACTAGATCCAAGTGTTAATCTCAAAATCTACAATAGCAGTTTTTTTAAATATCTAGGCTCCTATTATAAATAAAAATATGCATACTTTTTAAAAGTTTCCTTCAAATAGTTCAAGCTCTTCACATGTACTAGATCCAAGCCTAATATTGGAGAAATGTAAGAGCCCCAGGTCTTTTATATGGTAATTTTTATTTATTGAATATTTATGATAACATAATGCAAATAAACAATTTGTTTCTAGTTCTAATTTTATTATTATAACCTAACTTTCCAGATCCCAACCTGGTGCACATTTTCTAGATGCATGTTCATTAGGGTTATATCAGAAAAAATCAAACTATGTGTATTTGATCTAGTTAAACCTTTTTTTATATTCAATTGTTTAATCAATTAGTAATTGTAGCAGATTTAGCATTAGTCAATAAAATTGACTTGGCCAACTAAGTTAGTTGATTTTTTATAAAATTGACTCAGAGTTATATATATAGGAATAACTCATACAGTAGCAGCATAACAGACAATCTAAATTTAGAAATGATGATTGGTGGCTTAGCTCTACTTAAAAAATTTTTTATACGCCTTTAAACTACAAAATATTCTCGTGATTACTCTGAACTTACCAATCAAACTGGCTCAAAAAAAGAAAGATATCGAAAGATTATAGAGCGCCCTATTTCATATTAAAATTAATCTAAAATAATCTACATTTCCAAGAACTTTGCTTAGGAGCAAATATTTTACTACTCATTACTAGTACTGGTTATATTAGAGTTCTAAATGCCAAAAATGGTCAGCAAAAAAAAGAAGATTGAAACGTTACATGTAAGCTCAAACTTTAAGAACTTTGTATATACCATTTGATACTCTATTCTAATAATAGGCTTGTACTAATGCTAATATTTTGCATATTCCAAATATAATAGAGTTAAACTATTAGATTAGTAAATATACTTTAGGTTAAGTAGTAGGCAGTGTTTAAAATTCAGATCAAAAACTACATGTACAATATACATGTACTGTACAAATTCTGATGTACATATAAAAAATTTGATGCACATGTGTGCATGTAAAAAAAAATTTTTGATGCACAGATATTTTTATAAATTAATGTAATTAAATAAACAGTGTAATATCAAATGTATAAAAGTATAAACTCCATATAAGAAATTCAATAAAGTAATTATAAAACTATT